TGAAACAAGCTTTTATTAATGTTTATGTAGATTTAGGACAGTTGTCATGGCAAGTTTATGTAGGCGTAATGTAGCCTTATGAACATATTCAATATTGAATATGTTCAATATCAATATTGAAGTCAATATATTGTTATTGGTATGGAAAAATGTTGAACAATAACCCAAATGATTTTATCATTTGGTTAGACAAATGGTTCATGTCATATCTAGGTAAGTAGAGAACAGCAAAAGCATGTCCCCCTGCTGCTGGTTAGAGTAAATCAAATGCAGTATGGTCAGGTAAACAGGTGTGTCCACTAGTTTGCTGCTATAGGTAAACTGCAGAGAGACTCACTCTGATCCTCAGAGTTTTGAGCATCTGTGTTGGAAGTTCTGAGCAGTGGGGCAGAAAATAGGGGTGCAGGCTCCTAATTACTTCTGTCACTGACAGCGAAAAACTCGGCTTGAGGGGCCAGCGAGCTGGGGGAGTCCAGCCACTGTGCAGCCCCCATGACAGATGGGTCTCTGGGGAGCAGAGTGGGGGGAGCAGAGCCAGCAGCTCTGGACACCTGCTAATATCCTCTTTTTTTACTTTCTTTTGATACGTTTCCTAACTGTCCGAAAGTTGCAGAGTTGCTGTAGTAGTATGTTAGTGGACAGCACTGGAGGAAGTCTAGAAAAACAGAAGATGCCCTTGTTTATCAAGAACACACTACACTGTGGGTCTGGGCTCATTAAGGCAGTCTTTTACCTTTTCTGTACACAATGATTAGTAATGTTTTTGTCAATGTAAATGTTTTCAAGATTGACCTGAGCTCTCTCATTCAGTTGTTCTTTCTGGGAAATGACATATTACACCAACACATTCATTATTAAAAGAGGTAACGTCGTATTCACATGGAAATGAACTAAATTCAAAGTCACTGCATTTTTTCAGTGGTGACATTATTATACATTTCCGTCTCTGCATGTCTTCATCCTCACACATGTATGTGCTGTGAATTAGCATGATGGAACTAATCTTAAATGAGAAGAAAGAGAATGACAGCACAGGATAACGATATGGAGGGTTCTTTAATGCAGGTTGGTTTTGAAATGAGTGCTGTTCTCCCTCCAGCAGCACATTCCCCTGGCTGCACCGATAACCTGCGACTAAAGGAGCCAGACAATGAGAGCATTGCGTGAGACCACATGACCACAGAACCCCTTTTGTGCAGGTGACCGAAACAATGCGCTGCCATGGCAACGGCTGCAGCCCTCAGATACCCGATAGGGCACCTGCGCCCACTTTCTACCGAGAGCAGAACTTTAATTAAGCTCGTTTGGCCATATGGTCTGTTACGCAGTGCCTCGCTCTGCCTCTGGCTTCAAGACATGGGAAGACACTGCTTATGGACGAGCAGATTTACCCGAATGAGGACCGTGTGATTTCCACAGTGTTTCTTTCTGCTTTTGAATAAATTAAGGAGGAAAGTGTTACAGATCCAGAGATCTTTTGCTGGAATTTAAATGATCCTGTAAATGGATACAACCTGTAGTATATACACCACCGCTCAAAGGTTTAGAATCACTAATAACTCTAACAGTATAGACTAAAATATTATAAACTAGACAACAAAACTTAAACCAATGCTTCGTTTACAGATTAAATTATTTTAGAAACAACATGGAGTTAGGACAAGTAAAAAATATGGAAGTGTTCTTAAATAATAAAGTTATTTAAATTATTTGAATTATTATTAGCTGTTTAATTAAGGAGATTTGGTTATTGCTTTTCAAATATAAGACTTCTTTATAAGCTCATTTTCAATGCTGTATAGATTTCTCACTTATCATGAAATCACTAACAGCTCCATTTACAGGTTCCTACAAACTTTGAAACTGATTATTATAATGTACTCTGTTGGGCGTGAGCTTTACACCTATTTATTAAAGAAAATTTATTATAATCAAATCTAATCACATTATTTGTGAACTGCTATTGTTTTTGTTCTGTTTTGTTACAAATATATATGTATGTATGTGTATGTGTGTATAATATAGCGCCTTTTGGAATGAAACATTGTTGCTTTCCAGAAAAAAAATTGTTTCAGTTTTTCTTTTTTTTTTAGTTTTTTTTTTTTTGAACATACACAGTTGTATGTTAACACAGCCTGGTCAAATTACATGTTTGGTCGATTTTCTATTTTAGTGTGCAGTTTCTATTACTGGCTGAGTTTAATATATTGGAAAAAAATTTAATATAAATACCCTAACTTTTGCACAAGTCAAATTTTAAGTTTTATTTTTTTCCAGTCTGTTAAATTCAGCAAATAAACAGTAATTATGCATTAAAATGTGCAGAAGTGTGTTCAACAAAATGTCTGATCGGGGCGCCCAAACTTTTGCATTTGACTCTACATTGGTCGTAGGTCATAGCTCATGACCATGTCTTTCCTTACAACCCCTAAGGGCTCTCTCATATATTCTCATTTATTCTGCAAAGTTTCATTGCAGAATGCGTGTATAGTTTCTCAATAGTCAGCTTTATGTTTAATAACTGAATAATAATCCTGGACTGTAAGGGGTTAAAACTGAAATCGTATTCGGTATTTAAATGTATTATTTGAAGAACGTTTAACATTAGAGACTTTGAGGATTGGGCTGATTTCTGAAGTCTTGAAGCTATTAACCTCTCATATCAGTAATTGGACTATCAGGCAATCCCCTGCTTTACATTGTTTGATTTAATGGTTCTTGTAGGTAGCTTTCATTCATAACTGTGCATAATTACTGAGAGGAAATTGGAACAGCATGCATAGTTATCGTTTGATTACTAAAGCAACAGCATTCCGTGATGGAGGATGCGGTTGCTGTGTTGCCTAATCAAAGTCTGCCCCCTCCATACACACACACACACACACACACACACACACAAATGTACGCTCATACACACACACACCTACACACATGGTTGTCTACTGAACATGTTTTTTTTTGACCCCCATCTGTGAGTGTCAAAGTTGGATGTGACATTTAAAACCAGCTCCTCATCCCACCCGCTGTTTAACAATGCTAGCACCACTGCTGCCACTTAGAGCCCTGCCTGAAATTCCTATTGTCACAGTACACCCAGTCCCCCTCAGCAAGGACTTCAGCTTTGCTCCATCTACAGCTTGAGTTTTGTATCCAACTCTGAGGGTGGGTTGCACCAACAAGGATTAAATTAAACAGACTAAAGAGCTAATCAAGGATTTGTTAGTTATTAGACCTGGAGGATCGGCATCAGCAGGAATCGTTTAGTCAAACCTGAGAAGACGGCTTAAGTTGCATAGAAAAACTGGTTGGCAATTTGAATGAAAATATTTTAAATACAAACAATGTATGTTACTCTGTAAGTGGCAGTTTTTGCAGTAAAATCTCCAAAAATACTCAAATCTAAAGCATAACACTGAATATTATTAGAGTAACCTGCTAGCCAGCTGCCAAGCTATTCCTCCTAGACCAACTAGTCCAACAAAACCACGTTCTTACCTGAGGTATATTTAGTGTGTCTTCAGTCGTTTAGTTGCAGCGTACGTGCCTAGGTGAAATACTGCTGGTGTTTTTTCTTCTGTTTCACTGATGCACACAAAAGCTACATGAGTGTGAGTTATGTGCTTCATATATATATAATATATTTATATATATTGCTTTAAACACAGAGATTTACAGCCGTACTATATGGCAAGAATGGAGAACCTAGAACATCAGTGAAAAATCAATAAATTGGGACAAATGTATTAATACATATCAATATTTCTGATCTCTAAAAACAATGGGTGTATTATAGTCACATACTTAGTATATCTAGAACAGTTTCTGTTTCCAGCAGAGGGGGCGCTAACCTTTGAGCGTCTTCACACCCCATGTGAAGATTTAAAACATTTACACACTAGCACTGCTGTCTTTTAAGTCAGAGCTCATGGTGGCTTCTGTAGTTTGTTCTGTTAATTCCTTTTAGTGTTCAGAGCTCTGAGCACACACAGCACTGCTGTAGAGCTCCTCTGAGAGTCAGTGTTTCAGTTTTACCAGAATGGATTAATACCCAGTGTCTGAGTCTTCTGAGTCACACTGGCCTAAAAAATGCTAAATTCATCACTATTACTACTTGATGGATCCAGAATGGCTGTTTACTATCAAAATGTGCATTGGACTTGATACGTTTTCAGCGTGCTAAAAATCACATGCACTGTTTTTGTCTGTAAAAAGTGACTTGGAGTGAAAAAGTCCTTGTGACAACTAAATATTAAACTAAAATTAAGAATGAAAAATATGGTGTTTTCCTCATGTGGCAGTGAGCTCACAGGCAGCTCACTGCTATGTGTATGAATGAAGTTAAACCGGGACTGGAGTTTCAGATAATGGATCAAAGTGCAGAGTGCTCACACATACAAAATTCCACTTATCTATTTCTTGGGTATTAAAGCTGCACTATGTAGGTTTTGGGGATTTGGAGACCTCTAATGTAACTGCATGCAATGTGGATGAATCTGATGTTTGTGAGTATTCAAAGAAAACCAGTAAAAACTTGGTGAATAATTATGCAAGTGAATAATATACTATCGTCATCATATCTTCATCAGTATAATGTTGCCTTTGCTTTTGAGACCTAAACAGTGAGTCAGTCCTTCCTTTTGAGCCTGTTTGGTGATGTTAATATGTAAAGACGTATGACGAGGTCTGAAAAACTCCCACAAAATCCAACCCGACACATCTGACTTTTAAATTATTACTTCAGGGCAAATCATAGCAGAGCATGCAGACCATACTTTAGCATATTTTTTTTTCTTCTGACTTGGTAATGCTACTACTTTCAGTTTTAATAATAAAAATCTTACGAAGAGCTGCGTTAACAATAATTATCAATAAACTGATATCAGACATGAGTGACCACCTTGCAGCATTTGAGTTGTACTGGAGACAGGGTAGTGAACATGAACTCCTCGTTATCAGTATTATTAGGATGTGTAATGTGTTTCTGTTTTGTTTCTGCTCAGGTGCTGAACCTCTTCCTGGCTCTGCTGCTCAGCTCTTTCAGCGCTGACAATCTCTCTGCACCTGACGAGGATGGCGAGATGAATAATCTGCAGATCGCCATCGCTCGCATCCAGAGAGGCATAGGCTGGCTGCGCCGGGCCCTCTGCGACTTCTTCAACGGCAACTTCAAGCGCCGGCGGCAGAAGGCCAAGGAGGCCAAGGCCATGCTGAAGCTGAAGCGGCTCAGTCAGCAGGCCCAGCGTGCTGAGGGCAACGGCACGGCCGGAGTCATCGCCCGCACCGGAGACAAGTGTACCACCACTGACGACAGCTACATGACCAACCCAAACCTCACCATCAGTGTACCCATAGCGCCCGGTGAGTCGGACGTGGAGTTCCCAGAGGAGGAAGATGATGAAGATGAAGCTAGTGAAAGCTCCGATGAGGAGGAGGAGGAGGAAGCGGAAACCAAACCGGTGAGACGACTGCACAATGATCCTGTACACGCTCACTGCAGATAGCATACCACACTACTCAAAAGTCTGGAATCACTGTTTTCAATAACAATGACAATGACAAATATCAATGACATTATGTTCTCCTTCAAGCTGCCTCACACATTTATGACTTTAAGAGTCTATGTCTGTAATCAGGATTACTTGTGAGAGCAGAAAATGCAACTTCTAAGACTGAACTTTGGAGGTGTGGAAAAATATCCCTGTAGATTTCTTTGAAAAACTGAAAACAAATCTTCCAAAAACAATAGAAGCTGTAACAAAGGCAAACAGTGGACACACTAAATACTGAAAAAAGCGATTATGTTCAGTTGTTGAGACATCTTGAAACATTCAGTTAACTTGTACTTTAAGGCCGTTTGGCTGGAAATTAATGAAAGAAAGCTTGGTCTCTGACTTTCTCACATTACAATGGATTCTAATATGATGCAACAAAATTAGCAATTTGTCCTGAATAATGAAAAGAGCTATAGATTATTTTATATTCATTAACAAACTGAATAACACTGAGGACTAAGTAAGGCATTATTACACTATTACATATACAGATATGCCTAAGTGCTGATCTCACTCAAAGAGTCCTAAAGCAGATAACTTGACATGAAATTGTAGTTGTTATTATAATGTATTATAATTATAATATCATAATTGCAGTATATTATTTGTGAAATCTACCAAATAATAATAATAATAATAATAATAATAATAATATGAATAATAATACTGTAAATTGTAAATATATTAATTAAATTACTTTTTGTTGCTTTCCTTAAGAAACTACCTATTTTTTAATTATGTATGCCACAATTTACACTGTTTATGTCATTTATGTCATTACTGAACAAAATAACAGCAATTATTGAACAGTGATTTCAAACTTTTGGAGGAGAAAAAGTAGGAATGCTGCTTGAAATGATGGCCATATGTAGACATTTATTATACATCCCTTCCTGACGTTCCTATCAGTTATCTCCTGTTTGATACTCTCGGGAATCCGCTGTACATTAGGTGCCTGGGTTTGTTGGTGCAGTGCTAATGGAAAAATACATGTTGCTCTTACTGTAAGCACTCAGACTACATATGCTTCCATGTGTAGACTTTCATTTATCAGATGGCATTTCATCTGAGCATCTGAATGCATGTATAATGAGACACTCAAAGTGCTTAGTGAAATGACTAGAGGTATTAACCCCAGCATTTTGGTAAACATCTCACCCTAGTGCTCTCTCTGCTGGACGAATGCCAAACCTTAAACAGGGTCATTCATTAGTCACCTCTTCACAGTGTGGCTTGTGCATGCTGAGTGCACTTGACACACTGGAATCTACTACAGCACACAGGTGAGAGTAGCTCCCCATCACACCTGCAAAGCACTAGGAGGTGTGATGCCCATTTGAAGGAGATTCATTGGCTTTTAATTATTTATAGAGATTTGAGGTTTGAAAGCTATTATGGAATTTGTTTTCTGTATTATTATTATAATTTTTTTTTATTATTTTTCTAGCTGCACATTAGAGTACAGCTACTGCGCAACAGTACCACCAGACTGAGAAAGACCATACACAATACTGTTTAATCTACTCCTAATTTAACACTGCTCTTTAACCCTAAGAAGTCAAAATACTTCATGTTGGTATACTATGCAAAGAAAATTGGGTGGTAACATATGTTAAATTACATATTATAGTTAAATTCAAATTTAGATTCTGAATCCTCAAGTCCAAGTCTGTACTTCTGACTTATTGATGTCGTCTAAGCGTTAACCCTATTGTAGAAAGATCGTGAGTTAGATTCCCTGTGATGCCACAGCCATACATGGCCAGGAGTCCAATATAGCACAGTTGTTCTAACTCTCTCTGGGTGGATAGATGCCCCCTCCCCATCATTCAGCATGCTAGCCAGTGAGGACATCTGTTAGCTGATGTAACAGAATTAGCACTTAGCATTCTCCTTCAAGCATGTTGAGCTGTCCAATGTTAGATTAGTGGCAGTTCATAAAGATACAGAGGCGCTTCACGTGTCTTGGAGGAAGCATGTGCTAGCCTTCATCCTTCCAGTTTGGTAGTGCGATGGGGGAGCCCTAGCTGAAAGGTGGAAATGACCATGACCACACTGGGGAGAAATTTGGCTAAAAACCCATAAAATACATAAATTAAGACTGTACACACAACTAGCTTTCATCAACTTTAAATGGAAATAAAATATCTCCTCTTCTACGTAAAAACACACGTGATATCAATTAAAAGTTTCAAGTCTATTCACATCACTGGTTCAGGGGGAAGGGGAAGACATATCCCCTCCACCTTTGGAAATTTTGTGGGATCATTTTGGAGGTCATGGGATAGTTATGAAAAAAAAAGTGCACAGAGATAGAAAAGAGCAGTCAGTTATTATATGGCTGTCAGATGCATTTCAAATGGTTCTGTATAAACCCGAAATAGGTTATTATTTTGTTAATTAGAGCCAGAAACAACCAAAAGAAAGAAGCACTAACCTTCCCTGCAACTTTCAACACTTCTTTACTATATTATGATTTTTTTTTGACTTAACAGCCATAACAGTAAATAACAGTCCTTCCTTCTTCTTCTTAATTATCATCATGTTTATCATTATTTGGGGATTTTGCAAAAAATATTTCTAGCAACATTCGAATCAGATTTTAGTGACACAATTGGAATAAAAAATTGTTTTTATAATAGGCAACAGAATGAATCTCTATACAGATATCTCTATATATGTATATATAAATCATGAGACATCAATATGATAAGTGTAATTGTTGGTGTACTATGTTTACACAGTTTATATGCAGACAGTCTCCTAACCCCCCCCCATCCCCCGACTTGTCAAAGCAAATTTGCACCCCTGAATCAAATTTTACAAAAGAACTTTTCCTCCAGTTCTACAGTCAGGCCCGCTGGCAGCAAATAAACCATACATCCCCACTTGACATTCGCTTGCCTAACATGCTATTGAGTGATGCACTATCAACAGGTCAGGTTTCTGTGATATGACTGTGCTGCTTTATGGCCACCTGCTCTGTGGACAATAAGCAGCTCATGAAACAGGATAGCGCCTTATTGTTGCCTCTGTTAGTTCTCTTAATGATCTCTTCAACACAAAAGCTAAGCATGTGTTTTCCATGTAATCTATCTGCACACAAGTTTGAAAAAAAGTTATTCATTATGTAGATCTTTCTCATTTATCAATCAAGGCCTAAATCTCTGCTAGGTATATTACTCTAATGTTCTCATTCATAGTTTATGAGACTTGTTTTAGTTTAGACTCTAAGAGAGCATTCTGTGGATGCCCCACGTAATGACAGTTATGCAGTAAAGTAAAAATTACAGTTAGCCCAGGGCAGCTGAGGAAGGTAGCTCTATAAAATAAAAAGAGGTATCCTATGTCTATCTTCATGGTATTACAATCATTTGTGGTGATTGAAAGAGTAATACAGCAATTACAATGATGGATTCATGAATCATGTTCACGTTGAAGGTGCCTCACTAAAGTGATACGTTCATATAGGACAACAGTGGCCTCCTGTAGCTCTCTCAGACAGCTGTGAGGAAGCAATAAACCACCCAAGTTGCCTAGTAATCCATTAAAAGCAAGCATGTGGGACCACCGAGGTGCATACTTGTATCCAGACTGGACCACAATCTACCTTCTGCTGCAGTACAGACTTAAAAAGATGCAGCAGTCTCACCCTAGGCCAACTCTGTTTGTCTTCTCCTTCTTTTTCTCTCTTTTCTCCTTTCTCTCCCACTCTCTACCTCCAGGGCAGTGCAGGGCTTTCTCCTCTCCTGGTCAGAGAGGCCCAAGCATAGAGAGGCTAATAAGTGGCTATCAGCCGGGCTGGAGCTTTCTCTCCACATGAATTGCAATTCCGAACACCCACGCAGAAAGGCTATTTTCTCCTCTGTTTTGTTTTTGCATCCTCCAGAGCCATTTTGCTTCGAGCAGACACTGCTCCCAACTCTTCTAAATATATAAAAATAAAATAATACTAATTAAAATGTAAAAAAATAAATAAAAACAAAACACACACACACACACACACACACACATATATATATATATATATATATATATATATATATATATATATATATATATATATATAAAAGTTACATTTTCTGCTTCTCATGATCCAAGTAATCCCAAACACATTCAGTGATGTTGAGGTCTGGACTCTGGGGTGGTCAGGCTATTCTTCTTAGACTACCAGCAGCTATTTCATTTGATTTGCTTGTTTTGTTTTCCTTTTTTTCACTAATGGCTTCTTGATAGCTAGTGTCGAGTTGTCTTCTCACAGTGGAAGGATGGACAGAAACACCTGCAGATTTTTTCAGATCTGAAGCAAGAGTGGAGCTTGATTTTCTCCTCTCGCTCAAAGATGAAAGCTATAATAAGTACTGTGGTCTGCATCTTGCATAGTTGTTAGAAGTCACATTTTCTCTATAGCTTTACATTATTATTGAACTCAAGTTTCGGAAACTCCTTTTGTTTCGCTTTTTTTTAAATGTTTTTGACCCCTTGTTTATGCAAGTGAATTATTTTATATATAATTTTCTCAGAAATATCTCCAGAAAACTGAATCACCTTTGTAATAATAATAATAATCATAATCATAATAATAATTAGATAATAATTACTGATGGACGTGAGCAGGTCAGAGTCCAGATGTAAATTCTATAGAGAATATTTGATCTCATATTACATACCAAGTAGCTTGACAATGTTTTTAGACTGTTTGGAACTATCAATGCTTAGTGATACTTTCTTTCTGTAAAAGACTTCAACGTTTAAAGATATCAGAGTGAAAAGCGTTCCCATACTTAGTTACTTTACCTTTTTGTAATGAATTGTTGTTAACACCATTAAAAGCTCATTTTTTTAATAAGAGTATATATATATATATATATGCAATATAAAACGGATGGGTTAGTCCTGTTTAACTCACTTCCCTTAATGCTGCTAAC